GTCGATGGATTTCATCCAGTGTGAACGCAGCCCATAAACCTCAGCGTGCTAACTCAAGTGTGCACCAGGCACGATGTGAATCCAAGACCAATATTGTTTTGTTTGCCTTGTGATGAGAGAGTTTTCTCTCTCTCTGTGTTGATGTTGAATCCATTTGGAAACATTTCCGAATCCTTCTGCACATTGTTTTTTTTTTCCCCCTTAAATACCAGCCTGGCAATTATTATTATTATTATTTTGGGATCATGTGAAACAGTCATACAAATTCTGGCCTAGTGTCCTTATCTCTTAATTAGGTCAGCTTCTGAATGGCAAGCTCGGGATGAACACACACACACACACACACACACCCATAAAATATAATGGCTGAGTTCGAAGTGTCCATAAAATTTAACGCGGCCTGAATGGATTCAGACTTAATTTAACAGGCCACTGCCTCGGTTTGTCAGCTCCGCAACGTTGTGCCAAATTAGCCACCGGGGGTGGTGGGTGGTGGTCCCCTTTTCACGAAGGAATCGGGGTCGAAGGCAGATGAAGCAGGCGATGGTCCTAATGAGGGAACGTCACACAATTAAGGGATCTGCCCCGTCATTTCTGTATGAATGCTGCCTTTAAAAAAAAAAAACACATTAAAAGGAAAATATTGTGGTGAGCTTTCATTCCGTGGCCCACATCCGAAGAGACTCTTGGCAAGCTTCCTCTGATTCAGGAGAGTTTGATGGCGAAGTGGATCGTTTCCATAAAAATTAAATTGTTGGTCAAGTGTTTCTCTTCCCCCCTCCCCCCACAATTCAAATGTCTGGAAGAGAAATAAGATCTGGGGAGGGCTGCTCCCCCCAAATCGCCACTACAGGGTTCCTGAAATAGTTTCCAGCTTGGAAATGTCTATGGCAGAGATGGCTAATCTTTTCAGGACCGAGTGGCCAAACTGGAATATGCACACCGAAAACTTGGAAGACCAGCTGGCCAGTGCATGCATGCCTGTTTTTTGGGGTGTTTTTTGGGCCATTTTCTGCTGTTTTCAGCCCGAAAATGGCTTGAAAACAGCCTGGAAAATGGCCTGCTTTTTGGCTGGGTTTTAGGCCGTTTTCCGGCAATGAGGCCCCCGCAAAAACCAGCTGGCCAGTGTGCATATCCGTTCCGGAAACCAGAAGAGCCGCTGGCGATGGCGCTCGTGCCCACAGAGCGGGCTCTGTGTGCTACCTTTGGCCTGGGTGCTACAGGTTCGCCATCCCGGGTCTATGGGATAGAAGCAGATAAAGTGGAGGCTGAGGAATAATGGCATCCATTAGACAGAAGGCATGTTTTTGTCCTGCTCAGTGGGATCCTCAATCCGTGTGTTTCTCAGCCTGGAGAAGAGAAATCCTTCACTGGCACAATTTGTACCTTCAGGAAAGGCCACGAGACCATTGAAAATGTTTCCTGAAGTTGCTGGTTTTCTCTCTTCAGGAATTTTCTCTATAAAAGGTTTTCCGTGCGGACGTTTCGATCCCAAAGCAGGTGCTGGAAGGGAGTGGGGGGGGGGGTTGCTCTTTTCTAGCACTGATGCTGTTACCTAGTTGGGTCACGAAACGTCCGCAAGAAAACAACCAAGCTCAGAGAGCACCAAGGAACCCCTCATTTCAGCCCTGAGCTACGAATATTCTCCTCCAATGATTATTCTTTCCAGATTAAGATTGACGTTCTCGTTTGCAAAAATTAAATCTGGGGGCAGAACTCCGCTCCAGTCACCTGAAAAAAACACACACGGATGTGTATGATTCGAAAGGGGACAAGCCTATGTTTTGCGACTTGACCTGAAATACTCTCCAACTTTATAGAGGCCATAATAATTAGGTAGTTAACTATGATGTGGGGGGAGGGGAGAACAACAACACCTGGTCTACGGGGACTGATTTCCACTCATCTTTTGCAGCAACAAATTCCTTAAGTTAAACAGAAAAAGGGTGTCTCTCTACCTTTGTGCAAAAATCCAGCACGGAGCGAATTGCAGCTGGTTGGGAAAACTCCTTTTTTTTTTTTACAAAAACGGGGAGCTAAAAGAACTCAAAACTGGTAAAGCATTTCCATGTCTTGTTCTCAAGTTGGCTCGAGGCTCGTAAGTTCATTAGGGCATCTTTCGGAAACTTGACAACAACCAGATGAGACACCTAGAGTAGCAAAGGTGTGAGCTTGGAAGGTCTTACCCCTCTCCCATGGTGTCCTTCGACGTGTCTGGATGTACTTTAATAAAGTAAAAGAAACATCGGTTTGCAAAGCCTGGTCAACAAGAACCAAGAGATTTAATCGTCTGCTCGTACAAATGTGAAGGTATATAAATACCAGTGAGCAAGCGGGGTGGAGGGGAAATGAAAGGGGGGGTTTGTACCCGCAAACACACACACACACATGCACGCACGCCCACAAAATCTACGGGGACCTGGATTCGCCATCTAAGCAAAACAAAGGAGGGGGAAAATTCTCGAGATACGGCCGGCGAGCTGGGATTTGAAACGACATGTACGATCACGCAGGAGGCAGCCCGTTCAAACAACACGCGAGGATGTTTACTCGGATGGATTTGTGTTCACAACACCTGCGGTTGATCCTCCGGCTTTTCCTGCAAGGGGGTGGGGGGAGAGGGAAGGAGGGCAGGTTGGCCTTTTTTTTTTTTTTCACTCCCGCGTGTAAATCCTCGTGCACACAACTTCGTCGGCCCCAAAGGTCTGCAAAGGAGGGGGGAAGAAAAATGAAAGAGAACCTGAAACCAGAAGAAGACTTTTTTTTCTCTTTAAGTCTTTGTTAGAGAAGGCCGTGGTGGTTTGATACCAGGAAGCCAACATCTGCAGAAGGTTCAACAGCTTGAGGAGAAGCTGGTGAACCTTCGTCCGACTTGGAGGCCTTCTACGTTGTTCCTCGCAAGGTTCAAAAGTGTCTGAAGAAATGTGGTCTCCTAAATTCTTGGGAAGTTCTTGCGTTGCTGGGATGTGCCTAGAATTTGGAAGACCTCCAAATCACGTGTGCAACCCTTTCATCTACAGGTTAATAACAGTTTGGTTTAGTGACCACTCAAAAGTGCAACGGCACTTAAAAAGCTGACTTACGACGGTTTTTCACACTCGAACAACTGTTGCACCTCCCCGATAGTCAAAATTCGGATACTTTGGCAACCGACTCTTATTTATGACATTTGCAATGTCCCAGGGTCGTGTGATCATCTTTTGTGACCTTCCGACAAGCAAACTAAAAGAGGACACCAGATTCCCTTAACAACCGTGGGGCTAACTGAACAGCTGCCATGAGTCGCTTAACGACCGTCACTGCAAGAAAGGCCCTAACGTGGGGCAAAAAGCACCCCTGTCTCAAGAAGCAACAGGAGTTTCGGGTTCAATTTTGGTTGTAAGATGAGGACTAGTTGTACTTACTGCTCAGAGTTGGGTCTCGTGGTGCTTCTCAAGAACATGCAGAGCCAGGATTCAAGCTAGGTTGGGCCCAAGTGATGGCTTAGGGGGGGGGCATTGGCATCACTCCAGGTCAAAGAGAGATGCCTGATCGGGGGTCTCCAACTTTGGCAACTTTAAGGCTCGTGGACTTCAACTCCCAGAATTCTCTGGGAGTTGGAAGGCCACAAGTCTTAAAAGTTGATCTGAACTTTCAGATCTTACAGTGGACCTGTGGCACGCGATTTGGGAGAAGGTTCATTGGTCTGCACCCCACTATATGACATGTGGGCCTTTGGGTGCGCATGTGTGTTGAGTGAGCTCGAGAAGGGAGGAAGACAAGACCGCTGATCTTTTGATACTGAACTTTTGAAAACTTTGCCTTTGGTGATAAGCAATTTTGGAACTTAACTCCCTCCTTCTCCCATCTTCACCTCATCCCGGGCCGATGGGCCTGGAGGGCTATACCCTTATTGAAAAACCCTTAAAAATTGTTCAGGTGGAGGTCAAAATCTCATTGCAATTTTCTCCCAATGGAAGGGGGGGCTGAGGGGTGGGGTGGGAATTAAGAGGCTGAGCCCTTTCACTTCCAAGACACCCTTACAAATAAGAAGCTTAGAACATCATTTGTTCTAAGGAAGAGAAGGAGGAGGAGAAGAAGAAGAAGCAGCGTAGAACATCATTTGTTCTGAGGAGGAGGAGGAGGAGGAGAAGAAGAAAAGAAGAAGAAGAAGAAGATCATTTGTTCTAAGGAGGAGAAGGAGAACTTTTTAAGAATTTAGTCTTTCTATCCTGGGCTGAACCTTCTCCCCAAATTCCAAGGTTGACTATAAGCGAATGGAGCCTTGAAAAGGAGAAGCTACAGCTGTGCTCAACCCAGTTTAAACTTTGGGGGTCTTCGTTGCCGTTTTAGCCTGTTACCCCAATATTGAGCTCCCCTCTTTTGGGAAGGTTGGTGGGAATTGCTCAAAACTCTTACCAAAATCAGCTCATCTCCAGCCAGCTCTCTCGTCCAGTAGGTTTTGGGACCCTGGCCGTCCAGCAGCGTTTGCTTGCAGTAAAGCTTGTTCTCATTCTCCCAAGTGGCCAAACTCTGCAAGAAAAAAAAGATTTGCCCCTCGCGGTGGAGAGGAGGGGAGGCCAGATGTTAGGACCAACGGTTGCAGTCAAGCAGCAAACGGGAATAAACCCCTGGCAGCAGCCATCTCAACACACTGCAAATGAGCTTCCGTCTATGCAGCAGATACCAGGCAGAGCAGATGAACAGAGTTGGGAGAGGACCTTATAGGTCATCTAGTCCAACACACACACACACGCTGAAGCAGGAGACCCTACATCATTTCTGACAAACGGCAGTCCAATCTCTTCTTGAAGAGATGAAGCACCGTGCACAATTTTGTGGGCAGCTCAGAATGGGCCTAACTTCCAGTTAAGGCTGGGGGACTTAAGGCTAAAACTATAGAGAATCAAGAGCGGGGGTTGGAGGGGGATTTGTTGGTCAGATCTTCATGGCTGGGCAGATGTTTCTGCATCTGAAGTTCCAGACCTCCCAGGATCGAGGGCTTATATTTTCTCCTGGAAACCTCCCAGACAGACTTTTATCATTAAAAGTTTAAAAAAAACAACGAACTGAATGCCAGATTTCATCAAACCAGATTCAGTAAAACAGCCCAACCAGAAAGAAAAGGTTTGCCCTGTTGGATTCCTTCAGCCAAAGATTTGGCTGGTGGTTCCATTTCAAGTTTGGGAAAATTGCTGCTCCAGGCAACTTAAGACAATTACAATTTTTTTTTTTAATGGAAATGATCACTGGATCAAGCCACAACCCACACGGAATTGGGGTATAATTCTTCTGATCCTTACCAGGAACATGACTTATTCCTCTTGTGGGTTGTTGTTTTTTGCACACCACACCTTAATTAACTCTTTTATAATGCTGTTTGCGGCTCCCTCATTCTCTTGTCTTCATCTAGGACACCCCAATAATTCCATGTAATCATGATCTTTCTCCCTAAGCTGATGAACAGACAGACTGGGACCCCCATTCTCAGTCTTATCCCTGCCCCTTAGCCTAAAGCAGTGGTTCCCAAACTTGGCAACTTTAAGACTTGTGGACTTCAACTCCCAGAATTCTCCAGCCAGCTGGAGAATTCTGGGAGTTGAAGTCCACAAGTCTTAAAGTTGCCAAGTTTGGGAACCACTGGCCTAAAGTAAAAAAGTAAAGGTTCCCCTTCACAGATGTGCCAGTCATTCCTGACTTTAGGGGGCGGTGCTCATCTCCGTTTCAAAGCCGAAGAGCCAGCGCTGTCCGAAGACGTCTCCGTGTCCATGTGTGGCCGGCACGACTCAACGCCCAAGGAGCACGGAACACTGTTACCTTCCCACCAAAAGTGGTCCCTATTTTCCTACTTGCATTTTTCACCTGCTTTCGAACTGCTAGGTTGGCAGAAGCTGGGACAAGTCACGGGAGCGAGCTCACTCCGTTACACAGCACTAGGGATTCGAACAGCTGAGCTTTTTGATCAACAAGCTCAGCATCTCGGCCACTGAGCCCCCGTGTCCCTAACCAGGAATTAGACATCCCTAAAACTCTTCCCCAAAGCCAAATCAAGCATGCTTTTAAAAAAATAAAATTAAAAAGAGGTCATCAACTGCCAAGCTGGGCAATGACTCAGAAAACTGCCAACCTGAGAGATACTTCCAAAGTGCCAACATGATAGCAAGATGAGGTTGGATGAGGCCGGAGGGAAATCCTAAAGCCAGGCCATTGGACACGGGGGTGGGGGGAGATGTCCAGCATCCGAATTCCCAGGATGGCAGAGAAGCCACAGCGAAACCTTCCTACCCCCCAAAATCCTGATTCATCAGCCTGGGGAATCCCTGTGCGACTCATGGAGAGCGAGTGAGTTTTTTGGTTTTTTAAAGATCTCCAAAGGAGGAAGTGAGAAATGTTTTGTGGCTCTGGTTTGCCACAAAAGAATAGCGAACTCTGCTTTTTCTTTTTGTCAAGAAATCAATCCCCTGGCTTGTGGCTTGCGGGGAGAGCAAAATTCACCTAGACTTCCCTCTTTTTTTTGGTGGGGGTGTGTGTGTTGCATCTGTCTGCATCTGTGTTAAAGGTGCACAAGAAAACAGGCGGAGAAAACCTTTCTCTGCCTTTGCAGAGAATCTTGGGAATCTTGCTCTTATTTTACCACTGGATTTCTGGAGATCTTGCTGCCCCCAAAGTTGAACAGGTGGCACCATCCCAATGTGATGGAGGTCAACTCGTCCCACCAACTCTTCCTCTCCCCCCCCCCATGGGTTTCTGTGTGGTGTGGCTTTTCCAGCACATTGGGGGGTGGGGGGGAGACACGCTGTCAAAACATCCAACTTGGCTTCAATAAGTTCTAGAAGAGGACAACTGGCCAAAACCCTTCTGTGATGTTCTCAAGAAGTTCCAAGGAACTGTTCTAGATCGGAGAACACTTTTCTTTTAGGACAGGGATGTCCAAACTTGGCAACTTTGAGATTTGGGGACTTCCAGGGGACAAAATCCCAGAATTCCCCAGACATTCCACAATCTTAAAAGCGGCCAAGGTTGGACGTTCTCTGCTTTAGAAGGACCTCATCTCCAGGACATTTGTCCTGTTCTGGAAATGTTCCTTCCACCCCAACCTCGGGAAGGAGGAGGAGCCCCAAGAAGACCCCCCACCCTGCCTTGAAGGTCTACCCTCAGGAGAAGTCTCACCCGGCATTTCCTCCCATCTACCGTCTCCTCGTCGAAGCTCTCCCCTACTTTGAAGCTGATCTCCGTGGTGCGGACGGTGGTGGAGGTCTTGATGTAGAACTGGTCCCCGTCCTGGCGGATCTCCACGTGGGGCTTGGAGGCGGCGGCCACCGCCACTTTCCGCAGCATGGCATTCACTCCTGGGTACACATGGGAGGGGGGGGCAAGGGGGTGTTAACAGGGAGCCCTTCGGGCGCCTGGATGGAATGGCTTTCTCCAAAGGTCCACTGATCAAGCAGCTTGCTTCCCCCCCACGGATGACCCACGCCCAACCCTGTTGTTGGGTGGGCAGGGACCTCAAGAGCTGTCCCAATGGCAACGGGGGAGGGGGGTCTAAGCAGGTTTGCTTGAGGGCAAGTGTCCCCTCCCTTGGCCAGAGGAACCTGGGTTCTCCCTCCCCTTCAGGTCTAAAGCCTCTTTTTTGGGGGGGTAGAGAAGGGGGGAGCATGGGGGGGCCATGGAAGAGCAGCGCTCCAAGCCTGCCCCCCCCCCCGCTCCGAGCCCACCTCCAGCCGCGAGGATACTCCGCGCCTCTCTACTCTCTAGAAAGTTATCTGGCCGCGTTCTCACGCGCCCCCCCCCCCCCCGTTTCTTCGGTCTCTCTTCTCATCCTCCTCCTCTCTTCCTCCTCCCCTCCTCCTCCTCCTCCTCCTCTTCCTCCTCCTCCTCTTCTTCCTCCTCCCCTCTTCCTCCTCCTCTCCTCCTCCTTCCCACTCCTCCTCTCTTCTTCCTCTTCTTCCTCCTCCCCTCTTCCTCCTCTCCTCCTTCTTCCCACTCCTCTCTTCTTTCTCTTCTTCCTCCTCCCCTCTTCCTCCTCTCCTCCTTCTTCCCACTCCTCCTCCTCTTCTTCCTCCTCCCCTCTTCCTCCTCCTCTCCTCCTTCTTCCCACTCCTCCTCCTCTTCTTCCTCCTCCCCTCTTCCTCCTCCTCTCCTCCTTCTTCCCACTCCTCCTCCTCTTCTTCCCCCTCCCCTCTTCCTCCTCCTCTCCTCCTTCTTCCCATTCCTCCTCCTCT